TATTATGCCAAGGCATAATCATGAACAGATCTCCCCGCATGATCGGTTAAACGTGAACCGAGCCATTCGGCGTGATGAGCGTTAAAATCGCCAATGGTCACGATCTCTACGGATGAGACCTGTTGTGGGAGGGAATCTATAGTCATTTGGATGTGATCGATGAGTCAGTCTGTGATCATTACCGCTATGGGACCTATGGAGGTACCCGTAGACACGCGGATAGTCGTCGCTGTCTACGCGTAGCTAAAGAATGGACAGGTCCGAAACTTCAAGACTGCCGAGGCGTCGAGAACAGATGTACTCTCCGACGAATACGCAAATTCCAGCCCGAGGCACAAAGGAGGACGGCGTTTAGATTCGAGTGAAGTCCTCTGATGTAGCAGAAATTCACGGATAACGTGGCAGGGGTCGCCCCGGGTCTTGTTGCTCAGTTTCTCAGTTTGCCCCGAGCAGTTATTGTTTTTAACGGCATCAACCCCCCCCCCCCCCCCAATACGCGGCAGCCTGAGCACCCACGCTGCAGGAGTGGAGTAGCTCGGTCGTTGATGCTCAGTGAGGGATTCTCCAGGAGTGCTGGTACCCTCCTGGGGTAGTCTTTAATTTAACTCCGCTACCATGTTGATTGGGGGGGGGGGGAGGGAGATTCAGCTTCCGGCCACCTGCAGTCACCTGACGAAACGCAGAAGCAGAGCTTCCACTTCACGCCAGTATTCTGTGAGGTCGTGGTACCAACCCGGCTCGAGTAAGCCCATACGTGCAACAGCAAAAGTTGCCGCGTGGCTCTACCACCGTTATGTAAAAGTAAATGTATAGAATACTGTGGTTATACAATAGAACAAGATCTTCTGTCTATGGATGATCCTCGTCCTCACATGATCATGGACTAGAAATTTCTCCGAATAAAAGCAATACATGACCGTTATTTTTGCCGCAACTAGTACTTGTGAATTATTATTCGCTCGAAAATAGTCAGCAACAAAATATTTGCATGTACAAAAAATGCAAAATAAAATATTCAGATCTAAAACGGGAAGAAAGTTTTTTAAGTGATAGAGAGACCTCAGGATACCGACGATTTTCTTACTGTTGTTTGTTGTTGTTGTTAAGTTTTCCAACTCAGAGTGTATCCAATAAATAAGCCTAAATCTTTCACAGTTAAAAGCGATAGGAAGTAGAACTACTGTTCCAACCTTTGGACCATCCATCGATTACCAATTGTTATGGCCTAACACTTCAATGTGTTCACTATTAAGCCAAACTTCTTAGACCAATTCTTAATTATTAGCCTACATTAACGTAACCGTGTGGCTACTGAAACTGAGTCAGGAACATGTTAACAAATCAAAATTACATAAAACTGCGGTTGCGAATAGATCTCCAACATTTTAACGCATTATATTTGAAGCTACCTCGAATAATGGAATAACGGAGAAAAGGAGTAACTAGTTCGTACAAAGATATTATTATAAGCTACTTTTCATTTTGCTTTGACATCCATTACAATTAGTAATATTTTTAACTATTCCAAATAATAATGTAGCAAAATGTAATGTTCCACGGATGTCCATTGTGAGAACATTAGCGTTGTTTAGATAATATGGAATAACACACGAGCAAAGTAGTCAAAGCAATATCATGTACATAGTATCATCAGCATTACGTAACGCAATACGTAAGTAATACCACGTTATCTTATAGAGAAACGTATGGTAAGTCTTTAAAATATATTGAACCCAGAAGAACACCCATTAATACAGGCAACCTGGAAGAACTTTTACCATTGCTATTGATAATAACTTTCTGCGTTGTAACTTTATGTTTAATGTTTTAATATCATCATATTGTACAGTAGTACCATACCAAGCAGTCATACCGTCTGATTGCTTTGATGTTTCCCCGCTTCAAAAGGAAGCGAAACTCATAATATATATATATATATATATTACTGATAATCTATACATATAATAAATCTGTAGAAAAGTCGTGTCTGTAATTGTAATATATTCTTGAAAAAACAAGTCCAGGGGACTAAATAAAGGGTTCTGAATCCAAATTAGTGGTTTTTAGAATTTTTGTCTGTCTGTCTTTCTGTCTGTCTGTCTGTCTGTCTGTCTGTCTGTGTATTCCGGATTCACGCAAAAACTACTGAACCGATTTACATGAAATTTTGTATGTAGGTAGTCAGTAACCCGGGTCAACTTATAGGCTACTTTTTATCCGATTACGGAACTTCAAAAAAGGATGGTTAAGTATATTAATTTTCTGTTGTATCTTAGTTATAGGCGGAATGACGGGTGTTTTTCAAATAAATACCATATTACCATATTTGTAAATAAAGTTTAAAATATAGTTATAATCTTGGTAAAATAATTTGAAACTACACCGATTTCGTATTCAAAACAGCGCCATCTATCATCAAATGGAAAAAGTTGTATATTTTGCCTTCAGTTACTAATAAATGAAATAATATAAATAACTTACATTTATATGATTAAATTATTAGATTTTTGAAATTATTAAAAAAGTGTAACGTTCAGTTTTTTAGTATTAGTTATTTAATTTTAAAAGTGTAATAATTTCAATAGATAATAGTGACGTCTATCAAAAATATGAAAATTGATAAGGTATTTATTTCAATTACTAATATATATGTAAAGTGATAAAAATTGGTCTGTCTGCAATTGTTGCAAAATTTTCATTATCATCATAGTTATTAAAGACATTTTTATGTATGTCGTGACCAGATCGTAGAATTGATCATATATCATAAAGTAGTCTATCATTTCGTGAAAATACTGAAAAAATGACTGAAATTAATGTGTATTTAACACTATTTGATGACCGTGTCATGATATAGCTTGACCAAATCAATGAATAGAAATCTTTTGAAGTTATTAGTAACTAAACACAACGTTGCTATTTCATAATATGGTCATATGACGATATCATTATCGTTTTTCATCGCTAGCGGCGCTGAAACGAGTAGCTTATTTTTAACAGAAACAGAACTTTTAAGAGAATTGGCATCATTTTATCCCTTATTGATATAATAAATAAATGTTCGTTTCTATTGCTGATATTACTAGATGGTATAGTTTTGGCTTTCATTATTTCATGTAATATTAGCGCCACCTACTTACTTCTAAATAAATTAAAATGGCAAGACATTAATAAAATGAAATAATACAATGCTACTGAATATACGATGTAAATAATTGAATCATTTACATTACGTTCATCCCGCGTTGGAATCAGTGCAGCGAACTCTTTTTTGGCCAAAAACTCTACAGCCTGTGCCCAGTAGTAGCATGTATGTAAGCTGCTTTTTTTACTTTTCATGGGGCAATATATGCAGTTTTTATTTCATTCGTGTTTTCGGGTATGATAATTTATGTTTTCACTCTACCGTAAATATTAAGGCTTGCAAAGATGAGTAGAACTCATTATCGTCAGCCTATCAAAAGTCCACTGAAATGAACATAGGCCTCCCCCATAAATTGTCAAGTAGCTGGATATTTGCTATAGTGGCGGGTTGGCAACCGCAGCTATTATTATTTTGATCTGTTGTCAAGAAGATGATGCAGATCATACCATCTACTATTTTTTTCCTATGTCGCCTCTTACGACGGGACGATATGATGTGTTGGATTTTCTTTCATCGCCACAACAGTCCGAACATTTTTCTATTCCCGTTCATGAGTGTAGTGTTCCTCACGTTCACTGTGTATAAAATTTATAAGGAATAAAAGTAATTTTAAGGATTTTATCGCGTTTAATTTTAACTTTTTAAATTCCCGATGGTTTGGGCAATTTACAGCACCCATGGTCACGGGAGGGGTGGCAGAACTGAGGTGTTTGACGACCTGATGTCATAGTTAAAATAGAATAGTTAAAATGCAGTAGTAGTTTGAATTTAATTTTATTAATATTGGAGTCCTTAGCAGATAGAAGCACTCAGCCATCTTCCCTATTAAAATTAGGATATTTTTAATTTCAATAGCCTCGCGAATCATCATTGGTAGGATTCGGTGTTCTATTGCAAGGATTTGTTGTATATAATGGTTGGGACGATATTAAACATGTTTACATACTTTAGACTTCCCGGAGCTTCGGTGCTTTCATTCGGTGAGGAGTCAAGATGCGTAAAAAACCCGTAACATTAGTTTTAATCCATGTGTGGTATTCATTATTATAGAACTGTATTTATGAAATTTTCAAGTCTACTCGAAGTAAATAAAAATATCTATATCTTTTTATGGTGCCAATCAATATTAAATAGGACCAATGATATGAATAAAATGTCTCAAATAAACATTACATTACTTTGTTAAAACTAAATTTACTTTAACTATGATTATATATATGTAAAGAGTAAAATGTAAATAATAATAATACATTTTGATTTCAAGACTATTTACCTTTCTTATGGATACATCGGATTCGGAAGACACGCCATATATAAAAAATAGTAGGAGTTTCTAGACATATTATAAGTATATTCACGTGTTTCTGTAGCATGTTACCAATCATCTACATCTAATAGTATTTTAGAATGAAAAAAAATCTCTGACGGACATAGAGACATAGACACCAAGGTGACTCTAAAACTGATCGAATATTTCTAAATTTGACACGGAACAGCATTTAATGATGTCCCTAAATTCAAGCGCACGCGAGCGAAGCCGCGGATAAAAAGCTAGTTCTTAATATTTTTTTACCACGAGTGATATACTGAACTGAAATCTCACAGATTTTCTTGCGCAGATCGCCCACACTCTAAGAAATATTTACCATAGTCGAAAATAATTTAAACAAAATATTGAGAACTTACAAAATATATTATTTTATTAATTTCTATAGTATCAAAATAACTTGAAAATACAGTAACAAAAAATGTAATAAACAATAACAATTTATAAATTACATTACACGGTACACATCCCATTTTATTAGTAGTTCATTAACAAGATGTTAAGAGATATTGAGAAACTTAGTTGTAATTAATTGTGGTTAATGTGAGTTTTTGGATTAGTGAGGCTTTTGATATTATTCGAAAAGTATGAAGTGTATCTTTCCGGGGAATATCCATGGATTTTTACTTGATGAGGTTGGTACGAATTTCCTTCGCGTAATACTCCTCTGTCAAACAAAGGGTAGACGGTAGATCTCTTCCTTCGGGGCGACTCTTGCATTTGCTGGCTGGGATATGGGTCCACGAAGCGACGTCCGCTAATATCGTTGCCATCCGCTGTCGGGAATATCGTTGGCTAAATTAATGAAATATTAATGTTAAACTATTTTTAATCGATCTTATTCTAAAGAAACTGTAGTAAGTACTATTCGAATGTCTTATGAAGCAAATTTATAACGAATATTGTAAATTTTTCGAAGTTCTTTCAAAGCGTCTATGGAAAAATAAGCTTCAAATTTATTATAACCTAAAAGTTCGTACTATATTAAAATCTATTTACTTTATAATATAAACTCTATTTAATTATAATTATAAACATATAATAAAACACTGTCTACCATCCTTATGAATAAGATTGAAAAAATCTAACACTGTTTCAAAGATATTATTACCCATTGATAAAATCGAAAAAACAAATTAATTTGATTTAATCAATGGCTAATAACACCTTACTTTGCTTGCCTGCGCCTCTGCCGTTGAAAATTCCAGGAGCTGATTGACTCTGCGCCTCACCACCGACGGTGTTTTGTTGAATACTGCCCATGCCTACGACTGCGGGGCTAGGTTCGTTTTGCTGGCCTTTCCATGGTCTACAAAATAATATATTCTATTATTTTAGTACAATATTAGCTTAATTTCGAGCTATGTATAGTACATGATGGGAAATGGTTATTTTTCAAAAGGGTCGCCATTATCGAAACCGGGTGAGAAGGACTATATTCTCTATATTACGAAAAGAAGAAAATACTTTTATTGAAATATTTATGTTTTAATTTAAAAAGAAATTAGAATAGCGTATGACAATGCTTTAGCAAGTTGCATCCTCGCACCTCTGGGAATTCTTTTAACCACTGGTAAGTAGGGATATTACGATGATAATTGAAAAGTTGTTCCGCAAAAAGAGAAAAATTTGTGTCATTAGAGTTATTACTAATAGAATTTTGAATTTCTACGGTAGGCTGTGAAGCCGAAATACTTTTACTATGGTGTCGTTTAAATAAAAAATAAAAGCCGAAAAGAACTAAAATTAATGAAATCATTTCCATAGTGTATAGAATAAATATAGTTTAAACTTCCTTTTTAATAAAAAAGATTCGGTAAAATCTAAATATAATTCTATCGTCGAAGATATTACATACAAAAAAAGAACGAAGTAGAACCGCCTCATTTTATGAAATCGGGTAAAAATTGTGCTTACTTGTCTGGGAATAGTTCTCCAGGCTGTCCTCTAGTCTGTACTATTCTTTCACCGTTTACTTCAACAACGCAGCGCAATCTCGCACAGCATGTCGGAAATTCTAAAAATTTAAGAATGTATAATATTAACAAGCATTAACAGTATCTTAAATTATTAATGTGTAACGTTTTCGGTCTAAAAATTGTTGTTAGTCCATCTAAGTACATAAATATTTAACCTTAATATTTTACTAATTGCACAAAACTAAATATCGTCTAAAAATCTTGTTTTTGGTTATGCTGTATTTATTGTAGTTTTCTACTCGTAACATGCGTTTAAAGAGATTGTAGAAAGAGTAATAACGATATTATTGGTGTAATAAAATGAGACAGCAATATATTATTTAAGTTTTGCAATAACTAAAAATAGTTTGTTGAACTTGAATCGTCGCAATATGCGCGACGGCGTTTATATAAAAATTAACCTGTCTATTTTAAAAGTAAATGTAATGAATGGTTTATTCGCAGGCTAAAGAATATGTTTACAAGACAAATGGAAATGCAGCTGTAGAGCCACCAGTATCTGCATTTTAATTCTTAATCTAGTATAGGTGTTGGTGACTGTGTGCGACAGAATTTACTTACTCCTTTAAATAAACAAAGAACCTTGTCATGTAAATACTAAATACGTACCAACATTTTCATCTTCAATATACTCGTGACATTCTAAAGCATTTTCCGGAATTTTAGGTTTACGGCACCTAAAACATTTCACTCAAAATCTTAAAAATGGTTACACAGAAAAATAAAATAAAATAAAAATAAAATAAAATATATTACCCGACGGCAGCAATGAAGTATTTCCCATCTCGTATTTCGCATCTGTAACGGTGGCATGTGTAATGATCCGACCACTCCTGCCACGGCTGGTAACCTTTTCTTGAATACTTGTCAACACATGCCTGATCTGGAGATACTTAATTTAAGTTTATTTTGTCTTATCATCACCTATTAATTAACTTCAAATAAAACACTTACAACTGACGTCTTCGGCAAATATAGCTGGTAGCACTAAATACGCCAAACATATTAATGCAATAAATTGCATTTTCATTAAGTTCACAGGTCCTAGAACAGACAAAACTCAACCGTTGAGTTTCACTTGAAACTTCAGACACCAACTGAAGTAAAACGCTCTCCAGCGGCCTAAAATACTGTTTTGAACGCACATTATTTAGAAAACATAAGAAAACTGACACCAGAAGTTGAAAAATAAAACCGTTATGTTATGTGAATTTTTACGGGCTTCCTGGTGAGATCCCGACAAACACCATAATACAGTACGCAACAACTATTATACTTTTTTTGAAGAAACATTGCTTTAAGTATTTCTAATGTTTAAGTCCAAAAAGCGGTTCGAAATTAACGAAGGTAAATTAAAGTAAATGTTAAATTAAAATACAATATATGCATTAATACATACGCATTTCTCCAATAAAAATTTTAAATCCAAAAATTGCACCGTTTGATCGCACAGCTAGTCAGCCTGCGAATAAACCATTTTCATTTTTCAAACACGTATTGCTTTGAGAAAAAAAAATGTATATTCCAAGAAATCTTGATTGAATGGTAGTGTGAAGCTGATTGTGAACTTTTGTAAAACAGTCATAACTACTCTTTTTATTTTGTGATGTAACATTTACTTTCACGGTCAAATTCGGTACCTATAATTTTAATAACTAAGTATCTCCGGAGCTAAATATAGGAATTCTTGTTCAATTTCAGTAAGTATATAAGTACTTTTAGTTATTTTTACTGTAATCTTTATTCCTTTTAAAGACAGAACGTGTAAGGAGTAAAAATGTTCATGTTAGTTTTTGTAGGTTCATTACGTACATATAAATAAAATTGATGTGTCTATATGTAATATCAAAATTCATTCATTCAGTACAACCCTCACAATTCCATCACTGATCACAGGCCTCCCCCAAGGAATGCCACTGAGTACGGTCCTAAACCACCTGCATCCATCGACTTCGTCTTGCCACGTCGTCACTCGCCGTACAATTTTCGCCTACCGGTACGGGGCTGCCACTTAAGAACTTTTCTTCTCCGAATATCGAAGTAACTGTCTTATTGAGCTGAAAGGGTTGTAGGCATGATATTAGTAGACAAGAGAAAAGACATGAATAACCATTTTGCCCGCCTCACAACGTGAGGGAATGCTCTACTCTCGATATGTGGCAGCCCCGTACCGGTAGGCGAAAATTGTACGGCCATACCTCAATTTGGCTACATAAAATCGTTCTTATACTTTTAGCTAGATATCAAATCCATTATATTATTGATGTTACAATAACTACAGTTTGTATTTGTATCTCGAATGAGTCGGCTCGACCGGGGCAGGACCACGCTCTCACAGAATACCATCGTAAAATAGCAGCTCAATGCTTTATATGTTTAGTATGGTAAGTATAGAGAATCGGAGACCCTTTTTACTGGATAGAGGCATTCCATCTTACTCCTCAGGGATGACAACGCATTTGCATTTTGATTCTTAATCAATTATAGATGTAGATGTCTATTGAACCAGTGGCTATTGTGGCACATAGACTTATACTTACATTTATCCTACATTAAAAATCAAAATGCGTTGGACCCCTAAAGTTTAAGATGGAATGTTTCTTTTCCAGCAAAAAGGGTAAACCGGAGAGCCAGTCTCCGGTTTTCTTCACTTACCGTATGAAACACAGCAGTACTATGCTGCTAATTTACCTAATCTTATATTCTGTGCGAGTATGGCTCTTCACGGTCAAACCTAACCATTCTTACTGTAGGCATAATATACTATAGCGTGGCTGTACCAAATAACTAATGACAGGTTCAGTTTAGCCTTTTTTTCGTATTTTGTTATGTAATTTTGTTAATTTTGGAAATTATGTATAAAATTACGATCGAGGTACCTTTTTAATTCTTCCATAGCGTAAATTGTCCAGGATCTTTCCTCCTAATTATTTTACCTATTCGTATGTCGTAATTATTTTACTTACGTATGTGATTTTCTTAACGTTATGAAACAGAAAGGGTAAAAGAATTTTGTTAGAAATGCGCATATTTTATTGTATTATGTACTTATGCAAAACAGAAAGAGACAAAGACAGAGCAAAATAGTAGAGCCAAAGAGAGCAAAATTATAAAACACTGCGGTTGTCTACCCAACACCTTGCAAGCGTAGCAACTATGGTAAAATTCCACCTATAAGGCAATATATGGGGAAGGCCTATGTTCAGTAGTGGGATTTTAAAGGTTGTAATGGATGGATGGATATATACAATATTGGTTTACAATTGCAATTGGGGTGCTGTGCCCATTCCAGTGTAGAGAGGACGGTCGCATGGAGTACATAATAGAGTTGTATTGCTTACAGCCTCGCTTTGACGTAAGGCTGCCAATTAAATTAATGATACCGGGCAGAAACTTCAAAAACTCCGACACCTGTCTTTAATTCAGATTTTTCTCGAAGGCCCTTAAAAATCAATAACGATTCTTTTTTTATTAATTTATATACTTCTTTGCTGTTTTATTTAACAATGCTTGTCAAAATAGGCCTGAACAGTAGCAGACTTGTGAAGGGCTGTAATGATGATAATGATGATGATGCTTCACAAATTTGACATGAACTATAATTACGCCTTATTAGATAGATACATGATATTTTAGGAACGCTCTTTTTTCTCGCATTAAATTGAAAAATGCACATTGCCCAGTTTGCCAAGTAACTAAAAGATTTCAAGTTCTATACTTACACTATAAATCACTTATGTTTTACATACTTACATACTAATGTGAGTGTGAAATCAACTAATAATAATTATAACTCTTAAAGCTAGGTAGCTTTCTCTTCGTGTCTGGACAGTAGTAACAGCGTATAATCTCAATTACCTCACTGGGGTATCTCTATGTCAGAGGTCCGTATCACCAACAAGGAGGTTCTTAAAACCCTGCGAAGTCTAGACGTGAACAAAGCTAGTGGAATTGATGGAATACCAGCTATAGTTCTAAAGGTCTGTGCACCTGAGTTGTCTCCTGTGTTGACACGCTTGTTCCGCCTCTCATTCAGGACTGGAATAGTGCCCAAATCTTGGAAGCTGGCCAATGTACAGCCTGTGCCTAAAAACGAAGCCGTACCGACCCTGCCAACTATCGGCCAATTTCAATTACCTCCATACTCTGCAAGATTATGGAGCGTATATTGAACGCCCACCTCATGGCATACCTAGAGCAAAATGATCTCCTCAGTGACCGCCAGTACCGGTTTCGCCGAAATCGATCAACTGGGGACCTTCATACACAATGCCACTCATATATGGGGCGAAGCCCTCGAGAACAGTAGTGAACCACTTGCTGTTTCCCTCGATGTTTCGAAGGCCTTTGACAGGGTTTGGCACGCTATGGAGCAAGGTTTCAGCATACGGCTTATTCCCTGGCCTGATTATCTGCGTGAAGGACTTTCTGAGTGAACAGTCTTTCCGGGTCGTCGTCGATGGCTGCTCATCCGATACTGTGGTGACTAACGCCGGTGTTCCTCGGAGGTCCGTTCTCTCCGCAACTCTCTTCCTGCTGCATATAAATGATTTGCTCATTCCCGGTATCTATGCGTATGCAGACGACAGCACAGTTGTGGAGAGATACCAACCAAGTGCCCGGGCCAGTCGGGATCAAATCCAGTCAGAAAGAGAGGCTATGGTTGAGCGTGTGAATCTCACACTACAGGCAGGCAGTCTCCGAATGGGGCGATGCCAATCTCGTGAGATTTAACGCCTCCAAAACACAAGCGTGTCTTTTCACCGCTAAAAAGAGCTCGCTCACCTTGGCTCCTACTTTCCGGAATGTATCCTTGGAGTACGCTGACCGCCTTCAGTTGTTAGGGGTTGAATTTTCTTCGAACCTCAACTATGGGGGGTTCATTGAGTTCAGAGCTAAAGCAACCGTAAGGAAACTTGGTGTCCTTGAAGGGTGCGGCGGTACTTCACGTCGGGGCAGCTTCTTACATTATATAAAGCGCAAGTCCGGTCGTGCATGAAGTACTGTTGTCACATATGGGCTGCTGCTGCAAAATGCCACCTGACAGCGTTGGAATCAGTGGAGAGACGTGCTAAGAGGCTCATTGGTGACCGTTATTGAAACCCATCTTGTCAGCCTGGAGCAAAGGCGCAGAGTAGACAGTCTCTCGGTATTCTATAGGATGCATTTTGGTGAGTGTGCGCTGGAATTACACGCTCTAATTCCTCCCTCTCCTTTCCACCATATAGTCGGAAGAGAACCGAAAACCAAGTGTCATTTGTGTAGCGACGAGGGCACGTCGCAGTATAATCTAGAGGATTGCCCAGCTTAGGTTAAGTTATGACTTGATAACGATCTCAAGCTCACAGCCTTATTTAAGATTATGGTTGGATGCAAGAAGTTTTGGAGCACTGGTGCTACCTTTTCGCGGAAGGAAACTGTGGGAGGAAAAAGAGTAAATCCGGGTGTTGTTGGGAGCATGTCAGGCCCTTTCTCAGCCTCCCATGATTTAGGATTGTCCGTTGCCCTATACGTTAGTCCTGAAGGTGGCGTATAAGTAAAGTGTTTTTTACGCATCCCCCAATGAAAAGAAGTGGTGGATAACTCCAGCTCCACTCCCACAACGAGAAGGAGCCTGTATGCTCATTATTGCCGTCGGGGCTAAGTAGCGTGCGAAAGTATTCTCGTAGCCCCGGGAAATGGTGAAAAGATGAACATTGTCATTTCAAGCCGTCATTTAAAAATTTCATCACAAAAAGCCGTAGATATAATATTTATTGTAACTTAGTACCTAGTTAACTACATTTTAACGATACCGAGTCGTTTATGTTTATTCAAAAACTAATTCCAATTTGTTTTAACTCGTCTCATTATTTTTTTCTATAAAAATGTGTTCCTTTCTAACATTCAATTTCTTGATTAATCATTGAACTAATCGAGTGTCCTCCGGATACAAAATGTGTTCGGATTTTAGCCGGACACTTCTTTAAGAGAACCTAAGTTTTATGGGTTTTATCGCGTATTTTATCCGTAAAACTTAGAGTC